AGCCAAAGTTTTCCTATTCTCATTTCTGGTTTATTTCTTCTAAGACTGATTTGTTCATTCTTCTGACAATTGGTGGGATATTCAATATTCTTCACCAGCATCACAGTTCGATTTCATCAGTTCTTGTTCTGCACTCTTTTTCCATTGTTCAGCTTTCAGATGTATTTGAATCAATTGAAAAGACCATGGCTTGGGTCAGGTGCATTATAGTTTTTAGGTTGTGTTTATGGTGGCAAAGGAGCTCTGGTGGCATAGTGCCTAAGGCATTTGACTTCTAACCAGAAGGCTGGTGGTTCAAATCCACCAGCCACTCCTTGGAAGGAAGATTGGGCAATTACTTCCGTAGTGATAGCGCCTCAGAAACCCAAGGAGGAGTCGCTGTGTCAGATCCGATTCAACAGCAATGAGTTTGGTTTTTTGGTTTGCTTTTATGGTGGCAAAGTCATGTGATTCATGAATAGTCATCCCCACAATAGGGTGATCAAGTGATGGGCTTCCAATCCTGGCCAAACACTGGGTAAACCTGGGCACCATGTTAAAGCCCTATATGCCTCAGTTTGCCTGTCTGAAAAATGGGAATAATATATTCGCTCTTCCTCATGTAGACACTGTAAAAATCACCAGATTAGGACTTGGAAAAGTTGAGTATAAAGGGAAAAAAGAAATAATGCTTTTATGAAGCCTTTGAAACATATTTCTCTCTGCCAGGGCTTGCAGAGTAATTAGATATGAAAGAATTAAATGTGCTGTCCTAGCTTTCTGTGCAGCTGCTCATTGAGGAGGGCACAGGAGGCACCATTCGCCATGGGACAGTATGTTGGTGGCAAAGATCACCAGGCCTTGTAGTGAGACTTTTCAAGATGCAACAAACACTAAATTTTGAAGAAGTATAAAGGTCATCATGATAAATGTTTCCCAATGGCTATGAAAAAAGACACTAGGACCACAACTGCATGTTATAAGTGGAACCAAAAGTAAGTAGCTATGGGTGAATGTTCAGGTCCCTAGCCATGGCATTTAGGAATTTTTCATTGCCTCAAGTGTGGCATACAACACTTTGTTGTTGTTGTTGTTATGTGCCGTTGAGTCGGATCCAACTCACAGCGACCCCTCCTTGAGTTTCTGAGGCGGTATCACTACGGAAGTAGATTGCCCAGCCTTCCTTCTGAGGAGTGGCTGGTGGGTTTGAACCTCCAGCCTTCTGGTTAGCAGTCACGTACCTTAGGCACTACACCACCAGAACTCCATTAGGAGGGAAAAATGGATAATTGATCATAAAGGCACATGAATAGAAGCAAGTGGAAAAAAAAAAATTTATTTGACATTGATAGCCTTCTCTCACAATAATAAATTACATATATAGAAAAATAGATGCTTAAATATTTAATATTTTGTTTGCTGGGCAACAAAGTCTGTTTTGTTTTTTTAATGCAAAAATAAATAAATAAATATGCTATCTTACACCAAAAGCTAATGTGATTTTTTTCCCCAGAGAATTCAGAATTCATGTCCCCTCTGGCTATGAATGAGCACAGGGCTGACGTCCTCCTTCTCCCAGTTCAAGTGCCTTGTCCTATAATCATGAAAGCATGTTTAAGTTACTCCCTGAGGAAGCTTTCCTTCATAAATTGCAACTGAGATTCTGATTATGCGTTCCTATGGGCAGTGTGATTGGGTGTTATGGGTCCAGACTGTTCAGAGTCACATTGGGGTTTAGAGCTGAGTTCTGCTGCTTCCTAGGTGGCCCTGGCAATGTGTGCTTAGTGAGCCAGAGGAATTGGTAAGCTTCAGAATACACTGGTGCATAGGATGCAAGGTGGGAAATAGGGAGAAGGACCATTAAGGCACAGATGGAGGGTAGAGATGATGAGTGACAGTAAAGAAACTGATTTACATGGAATACAGAGATGTGGAGGGAAGGGATAAGACATGAATGAGTCTGGAATGGCAAGAGGAGGGCACTTTACAAAGCATCTCAAACAAACCAAACTCACTGGCATCGAGTTGGAACCGACTCACAGCAACCCCTCCTTGGGTTTCCGAGGCAGTATCACTACGGGAGTAGATCGCCCAACCTTCCTTCTGAGGAGTGGCTGGTGGGTTTGAACTGCCAACCTTCTGGTTAGCAGTCAAATGCCTTAGGCACTATGCCAGCAGAACTCCCAGGAGGCAGTTTTTTGAGGAAGTAGAGGCAAAAGGACTTTAAGCAGATGAGTGGTGTCACTGGAGTTACCAGCACTTTGGAGGTGGATTTGAAGGGACAAGAGCAAAGGCAGGGAGACCAGTGACCAGTATGAGTCTTTTGCAACCATCTTCACGCAAAGCTGTTGAAGATTGGACCCAGGGCAGAGGAAATGGGGATGGAGAAAATGAAGAGGCTCAAGAAATTCTCAGATAAATTTGGGAGGAGCAGGTGTTAGAGGAGGAGCGCAAATTGCAATGAAGTTGCATCCTATGCACATTTAGCTTCTGTGCATTCAACCAGACATCCTTAGGTCAAGAGAAAATTTCACTGTTTTCAAGGGTGATTTTGATTATGTGCAATCATTGCCTTAAATGTTGGCTTCTGAGCCCGGCCCCCTCCCAAGAGCTGATTCTACCATCCTCCCTGTGACACAGATACTGACTGCCCTCTGTTAAGGCTGCCTCTGAGTTCTCAGACATAGCCTGAGCCCCTCCTTTCCAGCCATTCCCAAGGCTGTTACCAAAGGACTGACAGAGGAGGAATTAAGCTGGGGGATGTGAGCCCACATGTGAGGGTCTCAGCCTACATTTGTGCCTGTATTTTGAGCATTCAGATGGGCCCCAACTTTGTAAAAAAAAAAAAAATACAAAGTAACACCAAGCAGAAAAACCATAGTGCTCAGATTTCCATGAGTTTTCAAATGAGGTGGTTGAACTAATATTATCAAGGTCATGGAAATCTGTGATTCTAGGATGGGTATACATTTTATTTGTGTTTATCAGATCTTAACAAGTCTATCTAAGGAGCTCTGATGGTGTAGTGCCTAAGCATTTTGACTGCTAGCCAGAGGGCTGGCAGTTCAAACCTACCAGCCACTCCATGGAAGGAAGACTAGACAATCCACTTCTGTACTGCCTTGGAAACCTAAAGGGGGTCGCTATCAGTCAGAATTGACTCAATGGCAGTGAGTTTGGTGGTTTTATTTGGTAACAAGTCTATTAGTGGATCCTGGTGGTATAGTGGGTAAGGCACTTGGTTGCTAACCAGAAGGTCAGAAGTTCAAACCCACCAGTGCTTGTGGAAGGACGATGAGGTAGTCTGCTTCTCTAAAGGTTTACAGCCTTGGAAACCCAACAGGGGCCACCATGAGTCAGAATTAACTCATGTCAGCAGTGGGTTTATGGTGAATCCTATCTGTGACTTATCTTGTAGGTTAACATGTTTCACATACCATTTTTATGCAAATGCAGTGACAGACACATTCTTTCAGCATAGTATAATTTTCTGTCTTATGTTATTCAATCATCTTCTCTCCCACTTGCCATTATGTTAAAGAGACTGTTTTGAAGGATCCCACTTATAACTAGGAATAATATTTGGTCTGGGAACGGTATGCTAAGGAAGTAGAAATCCTCATGGGTGGTTATCTGCAGGTAAATCAAGGATGAAGCCCTCTTTCTGATGCCTCTACCTTACTTCCTTACCTCCCATAGCATGTGCCGAGGACTTTTTCTATACATCCCAGGGAGGAGACACATCCATCGAGGGTGTAGATGATGCTGAAGACTTTGAGAAGACTCGACAGGCCTTCACACTTCTTGGTAAGGAGAATGAGGGAAACAGAGCTGGAGGGTGGACTTCATGGAGAGTAGGAAAACAAGGTGATGTCCCACTGTGCTTGCCAGCCTTCAACAGCTTAGGAGGATGTCCCCTTGCCCTTGGTGAATGTCTTCCTACTCTCTCTTTCCATCCCGGTCACCAGACTCCCAAGCTCAAGTTCAGTGCTTTGTTGGCCTTTCTTTTAGGGGTTGAGTCAGTCTCCCAAGTACTAGAGTATCCCTTTTCACTCCCTCAGGCCAATGAAGCCAAAGGAGGAAAACTAAGTGTAGCCATGTCTGCCCATGCTGTGGTCTGGGTGTAGACAAAGTGTACTCCAGCAGAAGGAAGTGTGCTTGGCCACTGGGACCAAGGCACCGATGTACCACAGTCATAGGGTCAGAGCTGTAAGCTGACTAGAAAAGTCTGATTGCATTGACATATGTATAAGATGGCACTTCTGTTAACTCTGTTTCCATCTAGAACTTGGTAGTGGAATTCTTTAAACAACGAGACTCTCTTTAGGGGAAGAAGGGGAGAGTAGACTAGAAAAAATGTCCCCCATCCTCTTCCAGTTCTGGGGGAGAAGAGCCCTTAGTTAATTTCTTAACTGAGAAATTAAAGTGGTAAATTCCTGGAACCTGCAGCCAGAAAAAAGACAATGTGGGAAGTCAGCCTAAAACCCAAGGTGGCTCAGAAGTTAGACCTTTGTGTTCTTCCCGACTTCTTTCCTGACAGAGATAGACGTTTGATCTCGAGCCATGTGATTAACCCACAGCAGCATTTCTAACGTCTTTTGTGGCGATCAGGGAAGTTCAATCCAATGTCCATTTAAAACACGGCCAAACGGGATATGGTCTAGCCTCTGTGTAGGGATTGAGAGAGCTTGACTTGAAGGCCCAGCTGCAGCTCATGTTTGAGTTGCTGGGCTCTTAAAAGAATGATAATTACGGATGATCAACAACTCAGAAGGGAAATGTATTCCGGGTGTTGTCTCCTAGTAAAGTCCCTCTAGCGCCCTCTATTGATGAAACTTGCCATTCTGCCAGCTGGCAAAGGAGAGGTGTTTACAAGGGCCAGCTAGCTCCACTCAGAAAGCAGACCAAAGAAGGGTGGATTTGAAACTGAGACACAGTAAGGTGATAACCCAGTATTGCATACCTTTCTAATCTCCAGAGTGGGGAAGTATGTCTGGAAGAGGCTGGATGTTGAGCAGGATGGCTTTCTGCCTAGGTTGTTAAAGAAAGGAGAAGGCTTACTGTGGCTGCTCCTGTAGTGTGATAGTGGCATGAGCTGATACAGGGAGAAGGTGCCCCCTATAGGGTTCTCAGGAGACTGAGCGCTTTAATTTTCAAAGCAAATGGCATCTGTAATTTTTCCCTAACCAAAACAAACCCACTGCTATGGGGTCAATTCCAATTCACAGTGACCCTATAGGACAGAGTAGAACTGCTCCATAGGGTTTCCAAGGCTGTAAATCTTTACAGAAGCAGACTGCTTTGTCTCTCTCCCCTGGATCAGCTGGTGGGTTTGAACCAGCAACCTGGTGGTTGGCAGCCAAATGTTTTAACCACTGCATCACCAGATCTCCTAATTTCTTCCCTACTCTTTAATAAATATGTCCATTCTTTTACTCACGGGTTTGGCAAACTTTTTCTTAAATGCAGCATAGTAAACGTTTTAGGCTTTGTGGACCATACGATTTCTATTGCAATTACTTCATTCTGCCATTGTAGCACAAAAATGGCCATAGACAAAATGTAAACAAATGGCTGTGGCATGGTGCCAATAAAATTTTATTTACAAAATCAGGCTGTGGGCCAGAGGCCTGAAGTTGTTGACCCCTGTTTCACTCCTTTGGTTTTGTTTTTTGTATTCCAATATGAGACACTGCTTATTCAGAGAATCCCATGTGAACAAGGGATTTTCTGGTTAGTTGAGTGCAGGGATCCTTAACTATTGTTAGGATGCAATACCTAGTCAACATCTACTACTTAAATTCCTATCATGATGGGGTCTTTGGAAACTGACAAAGCACTGGTTCCTAAGAATAAGTGAAAAAGAAAAGTTGCTGCCTAAGTGATATCTCCATCTTGACCTTTTAATACCCCAGCACTTACTTGTAATGAGACTCACGTGAGAATTGGGATGCTCTAAACTCTGACGAACAGCTAAAAGAACCCACTGTTACTCCACGCAGGGATGCAAAGTGGTCTAACATCCTGTCTTGTCCTGGCTTTAACCTTTCTTCCTTCCACCAGTCTTAATTTGATTACATTGAACAAGAATATATGGCAAAATTCTTTGGCCTCTGGCTGTTTTTTGGATTATTAAACCTCAGTAAAAGAATCGAAGAAAAGAATGCATATATTTACGTTCTTGGAAGGAAGACAGGGCAATCTACTTCCATAGTGATACCACCTCGGAAACCCGAGGAGGGGTCTCTGTGAGTTGGATTAGACTCGACAGCAATGAGTTTGGGTTATTTATTTATTTATTTATATACATATTTGCAAGGACCTGCAGTCTGTGCAATAGCCATTAATTCAGTCATTCCATCAGTTAGATTTTTGAGCACCTGTAATGTGCCAGACACTAGGCACTGGGGATATGATGATGAAACCAAAATGGCTACTCAGTGGAGATTCGCTGGTTATTAGTATTTCTGTTCACTTTGTCTGTTGTGAAATTTTATATAATAAAAATTAAAAAAGTAAATCTCTGCCCTTGTGGAGCTTATATGATAGTGGATATATAGCAATTTTTTTTAGAGTTAATTTTTTATAATTCATGCTTCAGTTGTCCACTTTGTAGATATCTGGATATAGTCTTTAATCCTAGCATAACATATCTTGCCTCACATTTGTACAAATGTCACTGAGTTCTTTTTTTTTTTCTTTGTCCTGAGTAAAGTATTTCCTTAAAAGAGGTAACTGAAGCTGGGGAGGATTGTTACTGTGATCAGGTCCCACTGACTTGGTCCCAAATCATGGTGATCCTGTGAACAACAGAATGAAACCCTGCTTGGCCCTGCACCATCCTCACAATTGTTGCTATGTTTGAGCCCATTGTTGCAGCCACCATGTCAGTCCATCTCAGCAAGTCTCCCTCTTTTTCCACTGACCCTCTGCTTTACCAAGCATGGTGTCTTTCTCTGAGACTGGTTCCTTCTGATAACATATCCAAAGTATGTAAGATGAAGTCTTACCATCCTTGCTTCTAAGGACCACCCTGACTGTACTTCCTCCAACATAGATCTGTTCATTCTTCTGGCAGTTCATGGTTTATTCAGTATTGTTTGCCAACACTGTAATTCAAATACATCAGTTTTCCTTTGGTTTTCCATATTTATCGTCCAGCTTTTACATTCATATCAGGCAATTGAAAATGCCATTGCTTGGGTGAGGTGCACCTTAGTCCTTAAAGTGGCATCCTTAGTTTTGAATACTTTAAAGAGGGTTTTTATAGCAGATTTGCTCAGTGCAATATATCATTTAATTTCTTGACTACTGCTCCATGGATCCAAGTAAAATTAAATCCTTGACAACTTCGATCTTTTGTCCGTTTATCACAATGTTGCCTGTTGATCCAGTTGTGAGGTTTTTTGTTTTCTTTATGTTGAGGTATAATCCATACTGAAGGCTGTATGTAGTCTTTGATCTTCATCAGTAAGTGCTTCAAGTCCTCTTTACTTTTAGCAAGCACGATTATGTTTGAGCAAGACTCATTAACAACACATTGCAGGTTGTTAATGAGTCTTCCTCCAGTCCTCATGCTGTGTTCTTCTTCACATGGTCCACCTTCTCAGATTATTTGCTCAGTGTACAGATTGAATAAGTATGGTGGGAGGATACCTCCCTGATGCACACCTTTCCTGGTATTAAGTCAAGCAGTATTCCCTCATTCAGTTCAAATAACTGCCTCTTGGTCTTTATACAGGTTCCACATGTGCACAATCAACTCCTCTGAAGTTCCTGTTCTTCACAATGTTTTCCAAAATTTGTTATGATCTACACAGTCAAATGCCTTTGCATAATCAATAAAACACAAGTAAACATCTTGAACATCATCATCATAATATTATGGGGAGGTGTATGGGGGAATAACTGTCTTATTTCTCAAACTCGGTGGAAGGTTTAATGGTGTTCATTATGTTATTCCACAGCCTCTTGTATTGTTGTTGTTATGTGCCATCGAGTGGGACCAGATTCATAGCGACCCCTCCTTGGGTTTCCAAGGTAGTATCACTAAGGAAGGAGATTGCCCCATCTTCCTTCCAAAGCCTCTTGTATAAGTCTGAAATATTTTGTGACTTTAAAAAAAAATGGTTTAAAGCTAAATATAAATTTTAAAGGATTATCCATGCCTTTGGTAACTCGTGTAGGAAAATGACAAATTGAACCACAGCCATTTACTGCTACAGTGGTTCTAGTGTCGAACAGACTTGTGTGTATCTGTAACTGAGATGGAGCATGGTGAGCAACAGCCCCCCTCTGGGATTGACCAAGAGCCAGCTGGCCGTCCAGCCCCTGTAACAGTCTCCCAGGAAAAGTTTTTCTTCTTCTTCCTCCTCTGTTGACACTTTGGATGTATGTCACAGATGTTTGCAGGATATTATGTGGGGAGGAAAACAACTGCAGATAAATGACCATTCTTATTAAACCCATAATAACATCCATAAAGTGTTTGGCTGACATAAGGTCCAAACTGAGTCTGCATGATTGCTGCCTCTCCTTGGCTTTTGGAGAAGTTAAAATGGTGGCGTACCCATCTGGTTGGATCAAGACGATCAGAGTGAGGGATATTTCCCTTTCAGTCCAGGGAGCCCCTTTGCCCTCTGAGCTCTTACTGTGAGAGGTAATTACTTGGTGAGGAGCCTGGATCATTTTTGGAATCGTTGGCCCGGAAAGGAAAGTCAAACCTTATTTTTAAAGAAGTCCTGAACACGGGTAAAACACCTTTTCTGTCCTACAGCCTTGGATATTGAGTGTCATTCATTTTTTTTTTTTTTTTCAGGAGTGAGAGAGTCCCATCAGATGAGCATTTTCAAGATAATTGCTTCTATCCTGCACCTTGGAAATGTGGAGATTCAGGCCGAACGCGACGGTGATTCGTGTAGTATATCAGTAAGTTGTGCTCCAGCTCCAGAGATGAAATGTACACAGCTAATTGTGTTCTTACCATTTCATGCAGCTTAAACATGCCTTTACTCGTAGAGGACTCTCGTAGGTTATTTATTCTTAACAGTAATGGTTTCTGTTCACTTGCCGATAATTTTTGAAAAGAACAAAGCCTTTTCAAATCAGGTGCCATCAAACTTGTATCACTGAGGGCAGGGAATTTAGTGGCTGTTCACTTGAAGTCTTTCTGATGGGTTGATTTTCCAAGTTCCTAGAGGTATATGGGATTCTGCAGAATGTCATCAATCGATTGAATGCTCTCTGAGCTCTAGATGAGGTCTACACTGCAAGGCTATATAAAGGATTGGGCACCATACTTGGTGGCTACCTCTAAGAAGCTTACTATTTGTCTGGTTAGACAAGATAAATGCCAACACTTGCCCAAATGTTAACAGTACAAGGCAGAATATTAAGTGAGGCAACTATGTGAAACTACAGTAAATTATAAAGTGCTATATAAATTACCTGTTTCCTAAGATCATGGCTGCTGTGCTCACTGTTCTACCCCTGGCACCCCTGGGGGCACCTGACCTATGCTGGCACCCACTGGATGTTTGTGTAAAGACTGAATGAAGGTGGGAGTGTAAGAGCCTGCTTGGAGGGAGAGGGGACAGGGCACGTAGGTGGTAGTCGGGGGAGGAGGTGGTGTCTGACAGGTAGAGATTTGGATGCCACATGGTGAAGCCCTTTCTCTTAAAGACAACAGGAAGCCACAGAAAGTTTGAAGCACAGGTGTGTGGTCTAGGCTAGTCTTACATTGTTCTCTGATTAGAGGCTGTCTAGTTGAGAGTGAGAACTATGAGTCAAGACTGCCTGGTCGCAGGTCCTGGTTCTGCTACTTACTGGATATGACTTTGGCCAAGTTACTGAACATTTCTAAGGCCATTTTCTTACCTGCAGAGTATAGATGATATTACCTACCTCAGAGTGCTGGCATGAGGGTTAAATGAAATACAGGTGATCCCCAACTTATAATGTATTCAAGTTATGCTAAACCACACTTATGACCTCTGTGGGTTTTGTGTGTGTGGTACATCTTATTGTTAGTAATGTGTACTATGCACAGTGTTGGGCAATCCTACTTCCGTAGTGATACTGCCTTGGAAACCCAAGGAGGGGTCGCTATGAGTCGGGTTTGACTCGACAGCACATAACAACAACAGTGTTGCAGTGTGTAATTTGCTATTGCTATCATTTCCAGAGATTCACTTTCAGCTGTTCAATGTTATGATTTATAAAGATACTGATAATAAAAGACAATAGTAATGAAAACTTAAAAAAAAAAGAGGCATTCAACTTACGTCAAAGCCAATTTACGATGGAGTTATTGAATGGAACCCCATGATAAGTAAGGAGCTCTGGTAGCATAGTGGCTAAAGCACTTGACTGCTAACCAGAAGGCTGGCGGTTCAAACCCACCAGCCACTCCTCGGAAGGAAGGTTGGGCAATCTTACTTATGTAGTGATACTGCCTTGGAAACCCAAGGAGGGGTCGCTATGAGTTGGGGTCGACTCGACGGCACATAACAACAACAACAACAGTAGTGCCTAAGACACTTGACTGCTAATCAGAAGACTGGAGGTTCAAACCCACCAGCCACTCCTCGGAAGGAAGATGGGGCAATCTACTTCTGTAATGATACTGCCTCAGAAACCCAAGGAGGGGTTGCTATGAGTGGGGTCCAACTCAACGGCACATAACAACAACAACAACCTGTATTGCATGGAAAAGCCTTACCAAAAACCAAACTCACTATCGAGTTGCTTCCAACTCACTTGGGTTTCCAAGGCTGTAAATCTTTATGGCAGCAGATTGCCTCATCTTGCTTCCATAGAGTGGCTGGTGGGTTCAAACTGCTGACCTTCGGTTTAGCAGCCAAATGCCCTAACCACTACCTCACCAGAGCTCCTTATGGAGAAGCCCTAGCACAAAGCAGGTAGCAACTGACTCCTTAACTATTATTATCATTGTTGTGCTAGAGTAGAATGGACCTTAAGATCATCTCTCTCAATCCTCTCACTTTATAGGGGAGAAAAAACTCAGGCCCAGAAAAGAGCAAAGTCTTTCTCTAAGGCCATAATGAAAGTTAATGGCAACACCAAGAACGGGACCCTATATAGGAAAATGTCCTTTCCCCTATACCACTGCCAGCCTTGCTTCTTCAAGTGGACTCTAAGTCCCTTGAGCTGTGACTGTCCCCACATGCCCACTATTCCCCATCAGTGCCTAGCCCAATGCTGGGCACATAGTGTATGCTCAAGAAATACTTCATTAGATGGTTGTTACCATAAGCTCCCTCTCGAAAATGAATTTTAGTTTATTCCTCAGGCACATAAGATAGGCCTCCTGCTGGAAAGGCTGCCTGTCCATAAGTAGTGTGCCTTCTGCTTGGTAGTTTTTAATTAAAGCACAAAAATGTGTTTTGTGATTGCCAGAGTTACCTTGGAGATGCAACAGCATGCAATTACTTGGACACCAGAGGCAATTTGTTTCCTAAATTTGGCAATATGGGCCCGTAAAACGAATCTGCTACCTATGAAGTGGGCTATTTTTAATGGATTTAGCATCATTTAATTAAGCTTAAATGTAATTGCATGATGTTAAATCAGTTTCAGTTAGCACCTTTAATCAAGAGCCAGAGCTGGTACAGAGAAGCAAGCCACACCCCCCAAAGTGTTGGGAAATGTATCCCTGGGATGGTGTTCAGACTGCTCCCTGGCTTGGATGCTTGTGGTCCTTTCTCCACTGCACAGTGAAGGGAGGAAGCATGTGGGCAGGACTTGGGCAGACCTGTGTACTGTTAGCAGCCCACTTGAATGTCAGGGAATCCAGCTGCAGTGCTGTGTTTAGTAATTAAGAATTTCTTGGAAATAGGTCAGATGAACAAGTTGGACACCTGCCACCAATGGACCTGTTACCTGCTGCACTTAAGCCCCCAGATACATACTTTTACCACAAAGAGCTTTACGTTTGAGGGAGAGGGAAGGGTGGTGGAAGTAGCTGCAGAGAAAAAGCCAGGAGGGGTGGCAATGGAATGTGTGACTGTGAAAGGATGGGCCTCTGACACTCCCCCCCAACACACACACACCCCAAGCTGTGGGTGCTGGGGTTAGGAGCTCTGGGTCAGAAGTCAAGGAGCCTCACTTAATCCCATTTTTCTCATCTGAAACATAGAGGAGTTTAGGTTAGAATAGTTCCCAAAGTATTTACCTGGAACTCTTAACCCTAGGCAATTTCCTAGGAAAATAAGAGTTGTTTGGTCCAATAAGTTCAGGAAACCAAAAAACCAAAATCACTGCTATAGGGTCAATTCCAACTCAAAGTGACCCCTATGGGGTTTCCAAGGTGGTAAATCCTTTATGGAAGCAGATTGCCTCATCTTTCTTCTGCAGAGCAGCTGGTGAGTTCAAACCATTGACCTTTTGGTTAGCAGCCAAATGCCTTAACCACTATACCACTGGAGCTCCTTAAGTTCAGGAAATGCTGTGTAAATTTCTCTTAATGCTTGGAAGGATCATGAACAAACCGTTTAACCTGGGAAGATTCCCTGTCCCCACCTTTTTTTTATATAAAACTTTTGTAACTACTATTGGAGAAACATTGGATGATTTCAGAAGTTATTTCTCTGATGGTCTGTTATTTTATAAATGCATGTGTTTGGGGAAAATGGTTTTTAAATATCTGTAAGAAAAAAAAAATGGCCTGGGGATATGGTGTCAAGGGGGAAATGGTGTAGTTATTCGTGTTAATTTTCATTGAACAAGCCCTTATTTAAATCTACAAGACACCCTCATCAGAAAATGAGTCCCACAGATCACTTCCAAAAACCAAACCAAACTCAACTCACAGTGACCCTTCCTTGGGTTTCCGAGGTGCTATCTCTAAGGAAATAGATTGCCCAGTCTTCCTTCTGAGGAGTGGCTGGTGGGTTTGGACTGCCAGCCTTCAAGTTAGCAGTCAAAGTAGAATGTAGCACATTGTGTTCTAAAGGGTTCCCTTTCAGCCTCTCTAGCAGGCTCACAGCTAGGTTAACAGCTTTCCCAGGCAGACGTAGACGAAGGAATGAGTAAGGGCTGAACAGGTTCTCTGTAGTATGCTTAATGGACAGCACCCATTAGCCAACAGACCTATACATTTTGGTGAAACGGGGCAAGACCCTGTGGGTAATTTGGTGATCCAGTGGCTCGAAGGCCAGGCTGTGTGATTGGTACTTTGGGTAAACCAGGGCTAAGACTCCAGTGCACCTCCAGAGGCAGGTGGGTACCTTGGGTCTGGGTGAGTCATTTCACCTCTCTGGCAATGGGTTTGCTTTGGTTTGGGGAGCTCAGCTGTCTTATCTGTATGGCAAAGGGGCGTACACTAGGAGATTTCCCGGTTTCTTTCCAGCTCTAAACATGTGTCATGTTACCAGTTGAGTGCTAACTTTAACTGATGATCTTCTCAGGCCAAAAAGTGTACCACAATTTTGCCATTCATCCTAGCTTTCCACGTTAGCTTTTTTTCCCAAGCAGCAAGGGCTTTAAGAATATTAATAACGTAATTGTATTGTGTGTTATGTAGAATCATTGAGGCTGATACAAAAGAAGCCTGCTTGGAAGCAGTGTCAGTGCTGGCCCCCAGCCCATTTGTGCACACCCACTGGGGTCAAGTATCATTGGAAGACCCCTCTCCTCCCATGTGATTCTCATCCTGGAAAGAATCATTGATCTACTCCATCTTCATTGCTTTACAGAAGGGGAAACTGTAAAGCCTGGGGGGAGGGAAGTAGCTGAATGCCTTTGACAGTGTCTTCCAGCCTTAGGAGCCCATTGCTCATTTCTGGGCATGCAAGGTACTGGTCAGAGGTGATGCTTACAGGTATAGAATTCTAAGAGGCAGAACCGCTTATGGGCATGGAGTAAGCACTGCATGTGGAACTCTGCAGATGGGAACTGCATATGTTTTGGTTTGGATCTGCTGCCCTCCAGCTCCTCACGCTTAATGGGTCATCCATTCAGAAGCTGTCCATTCTCACTCTGCCCCCTTTGCTGGGGGAATCTTCTCCAACCGATGACAGAGCAGCAGCCTGGTGATGGAAGAGGGGACAGGACATAAGAAAAGTGGAGCTTTTGCCTGTGTGTTTGGTTAAACTCTAATAATTTGGTCATTAGCAAGTGTGATGATCAGTTTAAGCACCATCGTCCAGGCCATAACTGTCATTTACACGTAGCGGGGTGTAAGAGTGTGTGAGACTGAACCCCTCCTGAACTATGTCCCCCGTGTCGTCCGCAGCCCCGGGATGTACACCTAAACAACTTCTGCCGACTGCTAGGGGTGGAGCACAGTCAGATGGAGCACTGGCTGTGCCATCGCAAGCTGGTCACCACCTCGGAGACCTACGTCAAGACCATGTCCCTGCAGCAGGTGGTCAACGCACGCAACGCCTTGGCCAAGCACATCTATGCCCAGCTGTTCAGCTGGATTGTGGAGCACATCAACAAGGCCCTGCACACCTCCGTCAAGCAGCACTCTTTCATTGGGGTCCTGGACATCTACGGGTAGGCCTGCCACCCCAGCCTCCCCGCCTCTACCCTCCTGCTGTTCATTAGGGTCTTCCTGCTGGCATTTTAAAGCCTGCAAGGGCCTTGGAGATGTTCCTGGTGGTTCTCAGCAGGAGTGAAACTACCCTTGTTAGGGGAGTTTGAAATGTTTGGGACGTTTTTGGTTGTCACCAAGACTGGGGTCACTACTGGTATCTAGTGACCTGAGGCCAGAGGTGAGAGGTGCTCTACAATATGGAGGACAGTCCCAAGGAAGAATAGTCAGTTGCCATTGAGTCATCTCTGGCTCCCGGTGGCCTCATGTGTTGAACTAGAACTGTGCTTCTTCACGGGGTCTTGGATGGCTGATTTTCACATGTAGATTGCCAGGTTTTTCTTCTGAGGTCCCTCTAGATAGGCTCAAACCTCCAACCTTTTGGTTAGCAGCCAAGCCTGTTAACCATTAGCGCCACCCTATGGTTCTTGAAAAACCCGTACAAGCATTCATTTTTCCCACCTGGAAAAATAAGGCCCAGAGAGGGAAATGATTGCCCAACATCATACTGGAACTTACTATGAGAAATGGATCTAAATTTGTGTTCTGTAGCCGCCAGTTATGTTTTATTTCAGTCTGTTATGAGACTTCATTGGCTTTACTACCAGTCAAGGTGACACCATGATTTTGCACAACACTGTATAGATTTGTGTTGTGTGTGGTCATTCTTGAGGTTTCTCTTCCTTCCAGAATTCCAGCCTAATCGAAAGGATTATTACTTAGAACAGCATATGTTTCCAGGCAGAGAGAACACGATGTGGTATAAAGTGTACTGGCCTAGTGTTCTGGTTACCTAGTACCACTCTGACAAGAAAATACCATAAATGGGATGGCCTTAACAAACAGGAGTTTATTCTTATAATTTGGAGGCTTTAAGTCTGAGTTCAAAGTGCCAGGCTCTAGGGGCTGAACCTTGGGGTCCAGCTCTGCCTCCTGCTTCTGGCCCACTGGAGCATTTCTTCACTCAGAAAGCTGTTGGCTGCTGAGGCTGAAAAGCCCCAAGATTGACAAATCAAAAGGCACAGTCCTGATGTTACCAAACCACATGGCAGGCCATTAACTTAAGTCCATTGTAAGTCCCAAGGTCGGCAGAGCATAGCAGGCTGCTGAGCAACAACACGGCTACATGCAGGGTCCAAGTGGGCCATAGGCTAGAGACCATTCCCAAGGCTTCTCCTTATATACAGGAAGCAGACCACATACCAAAGGCAGCTACTCAGCTGCTTTGGTAGATCCCACCATGGAATTGATTGCCAGTCTCTTCATGGGGAATGACTACCCCCACCTCCCCAGCCACTCAACCAGGCCTAGCCAAGTTGACGTACAAACATAACCATCACACCTAGTGATCAGGAGATTGGTTTTTTGTCTTCGTGCTGTCACCAATATCTGAACGACTCTGTACCGATCCAAATCTCTCTCTGGGCTTTGGTTTCCGTAGCTGGCCATGGAAGTTTTGAGCCAGGGTCTCAATGAGGTTCTTTCCAGGTAATTCTAGAATTGTTTGAAATTATATGAACTGGGTTGCAACCTTCCTTACCCTCCTTTTTTTCTGACGAATGTCTTGTCCTCTTTAAGCTAAAAATAGAACCTCCTTGGTTCTTTAAATTATAGAAGCCCTGGTTTCTGTCTTAAAATAGAAGTTTGTACCCTTAGAAGTGTAGAGTTGAAAGAATGGTGCTTTCAGTGGGCGGAAACGCAGCCGGGGCTCACCTTATGCTGTGGCTATAAACTCAAATCAGACTTGTTGCCATGAAGCAGGTTCTGACACATCACAACCCTATAGGACAGAGTAGAACTGTCCTGCAGGGTTTCCAAGGCTGTAAATCTTTATGGAAGCAGACTGTCACATCAGTCACTTGTGGAGCAACTGGTGAGTTTGGACCATCAACCTTTAGATTAGCAGCTAAGTACTTAACCACTGTGCTGCCTGACCTGATAACCTTCATCTGCTTGTGCACGATCTAAGTATCTAAGTTTACCGAGGCTTTGATTTGGGAAGATGAATGTGCAGACTCTTGTTAATCATATGTAAAAATATTGTGACTTCAGTGTCAATGATATGTAAAATACCATGCCTCCATTCTACTGTGTTCATATCTTTTCTTAGCAGTGCCTTGCATTTAATTAGGAAGGGAGTGCCTTGCCCCTCCCTTCCAGGCCTCGCCAGGCTCAGTCTGTGTGTTGCAGGCAGATCTCTGTGAGTTGGACTCCGGGTGCTGCTGAGTCTGCAGATAGCTGAGCTCCTGTAAACTGGGATTTTGTGCTTATATTTGGCATTTAATTTTTATAATTGAGTTTGTTTCCTCTGAGGCCCTGTGACTATAGGTAGGCTTATCTTTGGTTTAAAAGGTGCAGTTGTCAGTGGGTGGGGCAGGAATCCCTATGACTTAGTCTCCTGTTTCTGGAACTCCTGACCTGCGTGTCACCCTTATCTTGGAGTGACTTGTGGGTTTCTTAGAGAACATCTGACAGCTTTTCAGTGACAGCAGGATCTGTTGGGATAAAATGCATGGATCTGTCTCATGGACCCTCCCTGCAAGGCCCATCCCAGGGCCACTTTTGAACACACTGGGGAATTTCCCTACCCTTTGTACTTCCTTCCCAGCATGCTTTGCTTTCTCCCTTCCCCACCCCCCTCTCTTTTTCATCCTCCTCTGTCAGGAGGAGCTCTGGTGGCCTAGTGCCTAAGGCATTTGACTGCTAACCAGAAGGCTGGCAGTTCAAATCCACTAGCCACTCCTTGGAAGGAAGGATGGGCAATCTACTTCTGTAGTGATACTGCCTCAGAAACCCAAGGTGGGATCGCTATGAGTCAGATTCGACTCGACGGCAGTGAGTTTGGTTTGGTTTGGTTTTCTTTGTTAGGAGCTAATTGACTTTTCAAAACCCTATCATAGTGCAATCATATGTGAGAAGTGTTCACTGTCCTCCATGAAAGGAATAATGTCTAACATACAATTACTATGTACAATCTCTATGCCCAATGCAATGGTGAGTTCACACCCCACAGACGGAGAGAGAGAAAGTCAGAGACAAGGTTGATTGAGGTAGCTAGCAATCTGCCTGGTGAAGTAACTCTAGAGAAACCACACTGGGCCACTGGCTGCCGTAAAGCTGTTTCAGATGTTCCCTAATTGCGTATATGTGCTCCTCAGTGGTCCTGGTCTACCCAGAACTTATATGAGTTTGCACTGGCTCAGCTGTCTTTGTGGTCAGGGGGTGTGTAATGAACTCTGAGAAGATTAAAACCAAAAATTTGACCATTGGAGAGCAGGTGGCTTGAGTGTGGGTGCTGTTTCTGATCCATATGATCAGTGACAGCATTTCTTAGTCTGAGAGAAAATGACATTTGGTGGAATCTAGGTAACTTGGGTGAGCTATTGAGTCTCTAAGAGCTCTGGCAGTATAGTGTCTAAGGCATTTGGCTGCTAACCAGAAGGCTGGCAGTTCAAACCCACCAGCCACTCCTCAGAAGGAAGATTGGGCAATTACTTCTGTAGAGATACTGTCTTGGAAACCCAAGGGAGGTGTTGCTATTAGTTGGAATCAACTCAACAGCAGTGAATTTGGTTTTGGTTTATTTGGTCTCTGATTTCTTTCTCCACTCATGGTGTTTTATCCACCTTGGTCGTCTTTGTACTTCGGATACCTTCCAGAAACCTATGGAATCTGTCTTGGTTGTTTTTTTTTTTGTTTTGTTTTTAAATATAGGCGTCCCTTAATTACCTGGATGTGGGTATCAGACTTGGGACACTCTCTCTCTCTTAGTCTCTCTAACCACCTCCCTCCCATTTCAAACTAGTTCCAGTCTTTAGGCTTTACTTATACTATGAGAAGTGATTTAACAAAGATATTTCATCCCCCATGGCATCAGAACACCCAAGCCTTTTTTTTTTTTTAAAGCTTTGAGTTTTCTATTCATATTCCTGGTCACTGAAGACTGTAGAGGGAGAAGGCCATGTATCTGTCATCTCACTCTGTCTAAGCTGAAATATGGGGATACCTTGGTGCACATAGAGAATGCCTTTGGGGTGACTTTATGTCTTCGATTTCGTTACTCCTCCTCATCACTTGGGACCAGAAGATTGGCACATGGAAGCTGGAGAGACTAGGGGGGACAGGTAGGGATGTGTTTTGAATACAGTGGACCTTTATTCAGTAAAAGAAGAGACAGAACAAGATTTCTTCCACTCTGGATTAGGTTAGAAACGTGCAAAGCTAGGAAATAAGAGTGACTCATCATCCCCCCTCTGCTGACAAGTAGACACTAGTTTCTTCAACTGGGGTGACTGTCCCTAGATGAACTTCAGTGCCTGTTCTACTAGAGCCTTACCGCCTGCCAGTCGAGCTCATTGTAGAGCTAGAACTGAGAAGGACTCCATGCTCTAGGTGCACTGCTCCAGCTTTTTCTGTGAATGTTTAAAACACCAGTATAGAGTCGGCAGCTAGAGTGAATAAACACTAGCTTCTCTGTAAAAGCAAGCACCATACACACATCTCCCCTCTTCACGGTGTTCTAACTGGTAGGTGGGTCATTGAGTGAAAAGGTTGTGAAACCCTGTGTAAATTAGCATGGACTACAGCTGCATCCTTCACCAAACTGGGTGAGCCTGCTGTTCAGTGGCCTTTCCCCCAGGCTCTCTTGCTGCTCCCCTCCCCCTCCCTGGCCCTTTTCCAGAATCTCAGTACCTGGTATAAAGATGGCTTCCCTACACCCTACTCCCCTGCCCATTCTAAAAAAGCACAGAGCCAGCAACACCTAGAGCAATTTAGCCAACCTAAGCCAAATGCTTCTCCTTAACTAAGGAGCTTCAAAGCTGCCTGCAGGGTGTTTCTTACCAGGCAGGGGATGGAAACTAATAGGCAAGAGCCAGGCAACTTTTGGCTGGGGTTTCCTTCTCATGTTGCATTACCCTGCGGCTGCCTCTGCAGGTTTGATTAATTTCAGTCCCCTCCTCAA